CAGTGGCAACAGAATGACGGCACCTGAGCATTCAGTGTCGGAGAAAAATCAGTTTTGGTTGAAAGCAGTACAGAACTGGGCTGTCTGAATGAAGTAGTCACATTATGTTGCGACGTGCAGGAGTGCCCGAAGAGTGGTCATCTTTGGGGTAGAAGAGAAGGTCTAAAAGAAGTCAACTCCTAAGTTGGAATATACGCTCAGCTTATAAGGCGCATTGCGTTTGTGCGCTAGTAGCGTATAGACGCAAAAAAGCGATACGCTTGGAATACACTTAAATTTTGGGCTGACAGCCCGTAGAAAAAAGAAGAAGAAGAAGAAAAAAAAAAACGGGAATTGCGAGTTTACGATGCGGAACGAAGGGTTGGATATCGCAAACACAATCTGGGTTCCCAAATTTTGATTTCGAAATTTGAGCAGCTTCCAACCGCATTGTATCTGAGCATACCTCTCAAATCCAACCCATCCATCCACACCAAAAATCCCATGCACTCAACGCAGGCACATATACAAGTGAGCTCCACCCAACCTACGCATTCTTATTTTTCCTCTCACACACTTTCTATAACTTGCGCTAAGCTTCGTAACCTGCATTCATGTCTACCGGCTCAAGCACTCCTGCGAGTCTGAGTAGGTTGCGACCGCGGAAGGTTCCACCTGTTACGTCTAAGTACTATGCGGAAGCGATTAAATTCAGCTCACGAGCGTAAGTTAGGCAACACTTAACATCACTTGAGGCCCCCCGAGTGCGACAGCATGTCACCTCATAGCCAAGGGCGCAGTAAACAAGTGAGTAGTTATGCTCAACGTAGCTTGTAGAGTGAGTGCTTTGGTCGAGCAGAGTTTCGGCAACACTTTGTTGTGTTTCTACTCTCGTCAATACGTAGTAGTAGAATTCCAATAAAACCAAGAATGACATCATTTGATAAACACACATGCAAAGATTTATACTAACCCACCAAAAGCAAAAGCAATCAGCCCACCAAAATAATAGCTGGCACTATACTCCGAAATGCCAGGTTTCTCCACGCGAAATCAGTGGCACCATACTCGCCCATGAACATTTATATGGGCCATACTTGTTCGTGGGAGCTCGTGGAAACTCGTGGAGATTCGTGGCCGTGACAGCTCATGAAAACTCCTGACAATTCGCATAATTACCGACGGAGTTACGAATTCGCCGAATTTCTTCTCGCACTGGTTCATCTGACTTCGAAATGAAATGCGCACGTCGCAAAACTCTCTGGCAAAAATTTCTTCTCGGAAGATGAAGACAAAATGCTCAAGGGTTCCACAAATTCAATTGTGGACCCACGTGCAGCTGTCTTATCCCACGCGCCACCTCACTGCCACACTCGCGCGTGTGGCAGCAATTGAATTGCGGCCCTCAAGCCGAGCGTGTGCCTCGAGTGGCACCCTTCGGCCTTTTGGCGCTTTACGCATGATTGCGCAACAGGGCTCGGGCTCATGGCCTCGAGCCTTGACCAGCGCGAAATTGGTCAAAGGGGCTGGTCAACAAACTCGAGCCCCAAGCACACTCGACACTCACAACAGCGCTCATGAAAATGACTCGACATTCATGAAACACAGAACATTCATGAAACACAGAATATTCATGAATGCACATGTTCGTCCATGAGCAAGACATGAACGTACATGAGCCGACATGAACGGACACGACTCGTCATGATCCGTCATGACTGATCATGATCCCACAGCAACAGCACATGAAATGAAATGCAAAAACGAATGCACACAGAACGCACACAAAATGCATAACGTAATGCAGGCGGCTGGTTGCACTGCAAAAATAATATTTTGCACCCAACAAACTCCCCCTCAAGCAGTCGCCTGCTTGTTCTCTCTTTGCGTGAGCCTAGTTAAGATTCATGTCGCACAACTTAGCACAGCGCCAGTGGGGTTCTTCAGCCAGCCGCTTCGTGAGAAAATCTGCCGATTGCTGTCGCGTCTTCACATAGAGGGGCTGGATTGATCCCCTCTGCACCTCCTTCCGCAGCCAATGCCATTTGATCTGCATGTGCTTGGTGAGCCCATGCAGCACAGCATTCTTGGACATTGCGATGGCACTGGAATTGTCACAAAACAGTGGGGTAGCCGTTTTCTGCTCATGCTTTATCTCTTCCAGCAGCTTCCTCAGCCAAATCAGCTCCTTGGCTGCGTGATACATTGACATGTACTCTGCTTCAGCTGATGAACCCGCTGTTTCCACCTGTTTCTTTCACCTCAGCTCACGGGCCCACCTCCAATCACACACACATATCCTCCCACTGAGGACATGTCCTCCTTTTCCGAGGCCCATGTTGCATCTGCAAACCCCGTGAGGAATAGCTCCCTCTCCCCGAGCTGTTCCCCCTTCTCCTTGAGAACCTTTGCTCCCTTCTGCTTCATCTGAGCCACGGCTGAGTATTGAACTCCAACGGTGGGGTAGGAGTTCAGATACTGGATGATGCGGTCTGCTGCATCCACCTGCTCCTCGGTGGGATTTGGCACCACCCTGGCCAGCTGCCCTACAGCAAAGGAGATGTCCGGTCTGGTGTGTACCGCTGCATAGAGCAAGCTCCCCACGATGGACTGAAAACGAGCCTGCTCCCGCTGATCCACTCTTTCATTTTCACCAGCTTTAATGAGTTTGAATCCGGATGGAAGAGGTGTGGTAATCTTCCTTCCGACCTCTATCTCATACTTGGTCCCCATGTCGTTGATGTACTTTTCCTGGTGCAGCTTCACCCATCCATTGCTAACATCCGTCTCAATATGCATTCCCAAGTAGTAGTTCGCCTCCCCCAAGGTCTTGCACTTGAAGTTTTGCATCAGTTTTTGCTGCACCTTCATCACTTCCTATTTGTTGCTCCCGAACAAGAGGATGTTGTCCACGTAAACCAGGAACATAACGAGGCTCTCTTTCTCCCCCATGAAGAAAAGACCCTCATCACATGCACTCGCCCTGAACCCTATCTCCTCCAAAACCGAAGACAGCTTCTTGTACCAGTAGCATGGTGCTTGTTTGAGGCCGTAGATGGCCTTCTTCAGCTTAGACATGAGCATATTCACGAACGCCTGTTCGGTTCGACTCGAACATGTTCGAGTTCGGCGAATGGCGGTGCTCGTGCAGGGGCGAACGCGAACACGTTCGTGTTCGCCCCTTGCTCATCCCTAACTAGCACGCAGAGGCTACAACTCTTTGTCACAGACAAACTTGCTGGAGAGCTGGTGACAATCCAGGCTCGGAGCTCTAGGGGAACGACACTCTGTGCTCGGGCATGAAATAAATCCAAACCCGGAGTTGTTAACACTGCTTGGCCAGGAGCCAGCACAGTCCAGGTTCAGTAATTTCAAATTTACATTGGCCCCAGCTTGGCGAAGGCAAGGTCGGACAATTTGGGGCGTGCACGTGCATGGAGAGGCTCGCATGTGATTGAGAGGCGCACATGTGATTGAGAGGCTCACACAAAATGGAGGTTAGTCATGGCTGTTAGAGAGGAAGGCAGTGGGCCCGATATGAGGTTGTTGGAGGCACGCCTGGGGTGATGGTAGCAAGGGGTGATAGGCAAGGGGTGATGGCAGCAAGGAGTGATGTGATAGCAGCAAGGCAGAGAGCAATGCTGGCTGGAGGTTAATGAAAGAAACATGGTGAGAGAAGAATGATGATGAAAGAAACATGGTGAGAGAAGAATGGTGATGAAAGAAACATGGTGAGAGAAGAATGGTGATGAAAGAAACATGGTGAGAGAAGAATGGTGATGAAAGAAACATGGTGAGAGAAGAATGGTGATGAAGCATTTCTCCACGAATGTTCAATGGATGCATTGGATGGGATGCCAAAGGAACAAAAGGGGTGATATGGGTAGACTTGTCTCCTCGAAAACGGCCAGGACAAGCGGGATAGGAATAGGCACAGAAGGCAAGCACAGCAATCAAGGCCATAAAGTGGGACACATGCGAGGGGGGAGCGGGACAACGGAGATGAGGAGGCACAGAGAGAGGGCATGAGAAGAACTCACAAAGTGTTTAGTTGGGAGACATGACTGAGTGCCTCAGGTAGGCTTCCCGAGATATGATTGTCAGAGATGTCGCTGAGGGAGGGACAGGCAAAGTTTCACCCAAAAAGAAAAAAAAAAAACACACACACACACACACACACACGCTTGGTTCAGATGGGGCCAGCCTAGCATGAGTGGTGTGGTGAGGATGAAGCTCGCACAACACATTGATTGGTACCCATGAGCACCGGATTGAGCCTTGACTTGCCTCAACTGCATAAAATCGACTGTAGTTCGAGTCAAGCAAGCCCGACTGAGTCGCGCATTCTGTTTGTTTGCATCTCGGCACAACTCGAGCAGGCGACTCGAACTTGATCTACAAGCCATGGGATGTGCCTGGCTCAAAGGGCAGTGGCTAGGCATGAGCATAGTACCTACAAAACTGGGGCTTTTCTGTTTGGCTCGTCTCGTCTGGAATTGCAGAGTGGTCCCTAGCTACGTTCGACATTTTCTCATGCCCTACCAAGGCCCGAGTCCATGACTAACTGTCCCGGTTGCGAGGGGACCAGAGGGGAGCAAGCAAGCGCTGCCTGAGTGGGATGGGCCCAGGCCGATTCGTTATGGTTAGACCAGACCTAAAAAGACAAGGCAGTGCCTGGCCCAGCCCGTGTCAAGCAGTGCCTGGCCAGGCTCAGGGCGTACTACTCCCATGCACTGTCAATGAGAGAGGGGTCAACCGCAGGGTTGGTGGAAAGCAGCTTCTCACAGGCTGACCCCGGGCCAGGTGTCTGCCACTCACTCAAGGCTGTCTGCCACTCACTCAGGGCTGTCTGCCACTCACTCAGGGCTGTCTGCCACTCACTCAGGGCTGTCTGCCACTCACTCAGGGCTGTCTGCCACTCACTCAGGGCCAAGGTTGCCTTACAGCAGTGTGAGCCTTACAGCAGTGTGAGTCTTACAGCAGTGTGAGCCTTACAGCAGTGTGAGCCTTACAGCAGTGTGAGGTAGGCTAAGCCTGTAATGTCGTCCGGTA